AGAGAGCGAATGGCAGAGAGTCGTGGGACTCTCTACTAAACCGTAACTAGTGACTGAACGAGGGATAGGCTACCTCCCAATGTTGCGTAGGCGACAAAGAAAACGAACGAAATCTGATCCGATCCGAAAAGCACAAGCCCAAGGAATCGGAAAAGGAGAGGCGGAGGTGGCAGGAAGAGGAGGAAACAAGCCAAAGGAAAAGATCAAAAATCTCCAGTCGATCAGCGGACCCGGTAGGCTAATATACCTGGCAGGGTTTTGATCAACAAATTCGCCGTGGCCCAGATCGAAGACAACTGGGAATTTCAATCGCTCGGCCATGGCTGCAGAGCCGATCGTCCGGCATGGCTTGTTGCTGGAATTCGCCTGTTTGACAGCGCGCCAGGGCAGCGAGCTGGTCGCTACGCACTAGACTCAGGCATTGGTATGGATGGCGAACCCTGTGGACGGAACAACACCTCCTCTGCCATGCTGCATTTGACCCGCCATATGGTATGTCTCGATGGGGACGAAATGTCGGGCTCTGCTCACCAGTTTTTCCACTGTGATTACAGTGCTGGGGGAGGCTGCCTGATTGAGCAGGTCTAGACATTCCTCGTGGCCCATTGTTCCCCCGACGCCAGTCTGGGCAGTAATGTCGGTGCTCCCGGGCAGCCGTGGCATCCTCATCTCGATAAGCTTCACTTGCTGCGTCAGATATATCTAATCCATGGCGAGAAAGCTAATTGTCCCATTGGCATAGCCATAAGTACGTATACTCTCGGCGGATTATACTTTTGTACATGCTGTTTTAACTGTAGAATTAGTCGTCAGCCAGTCCCTTGGATTCAAGGTTGGTAGATACCTTGACTCAGGCGGGAAGAGAAAAAGGGTTGGTCCTGCATGGACGGGTGGGCCCGGGCGAGGGAAAGAGAGGCGAGAAAGTGAGAGAGCTGAGGGGGGATCATCCAGGGGCAAAATCCAGAAATTAACTAACCACTTCTCTCCCACCAATAAAGAATGGGTTAAGGGTTAACCGGTGCTCTACAACTTGAATCTCCTTCTCATATAGAGTACATGATACTACAAAGTAGATAGATAGCCAAGTCCACGGTCCGATATGTCTCAGTCTTCCCGTCTCTTTTCCCCTCGATCGAGTTAAAAATATCCTACAAGGTGGGTAAGGAATCAGTGCACCAAGCTTTCCGCAGAGGAGACAGTCTTCTTCCTTAATTAACCCAACCCGACTGATCGGCCGCTAACCTTGGGTCGTGGTCTGCCCGTGAAACACCTAGTCATCAACTAGTCTAGCCTCGGCAGCAGCAGCAGCAGTAATCACCTGCATGGTCCAGAAAGTTGTACAGCGTTGCGGACTCGACCAAAAGTCCTGATTATCTAGACGGTCGGCCCGGAAGCCGGATTGTTTGTTGAACTCCGCCATGTTTGGATGATTTAGCTAGACAACGATTCTGGGTTTGGAACGCGTGAAGAATGTGTGCGGTGCCCGTCTGATTCCGCCGCGGCATCCCTTGGCACAAGGAGTTATTTGACGCGTCCATTCCGGGCAGGAAAAAGACCAAGGTTCCTCAAGCATGGTGCTGCAGGAGTAGGCGCTGAACAATGTGTGTCGGGAAAGCGTGATGTTTGGCCCGCAGCCAGTGATTCCAAAAGTGCCCTGACTGCGCTACTGCGGTCTATATATGCAAGTTGGCTGCAGGTGCCGTGCAGATGCTCGCCCCGAGTCATCTGCCTTCCCCGGCCTCGCGCCTTGACTGGCCGCCCACCGCCTCCGTCCGCATCATTCTTTCTCATCTTGCGCCAAGGAGAGAGAATCTAGGCGTGACGAGCCTTCAACCTTTCGGCACTGAATGACTATCCTGTAATGGGGTGTGTGGTTCGTCCATAATAACAACATACTACAGTTCTTCCAGACCAAGGTCCTAGGCGGTCCGATCCGCCCGTCCACCCTTGGTAGCCATCATCGCAGCGGCCGCCAGCATGGGGTTTACTTGAGAGCTTCACGAATGACCGATGCAAGTCGACGCACCCCCTCTTCGAGTTTATCCTCCCGCTCCCACGCGAAACAGAGGCGCATGCCGTCGTCAAAATCGTTCTTGTCTCCTGCCGCATCTCCATCTATCCGAAAGACATTACCAGATGCTACGATCAAGTTCTGTTCGCGCAGTGCGATGGGTACAAGCTCGCTGGACCGTAATGGGTGTGGGAGCCGGAGCCAAATGAAATATCCCCCTGCCACATCAGGAACTGGAGGGAGCCCCACGCCGAGGGGAACAAGATGCTCACGTATGGAAGAGATCATCCGGTGGTAGCGGCGGGCGTACGCCGGTTGCAGAACATCGCCAATGAAGTCTTGTACAATCCCCGTGGGGAACAGCTGCGCAATGATGGCGGCGCACATATGCGACGGTGCGCCTCCGGATCGACTTGAGCCTCTGTCCAGGGAAAAGTTAGCCTACCAGGTAGGGGAGGGTAAAGCAAGGGACAAGCGAGAGCAGCCAGCAAGACCACCTCACGGGATCACCCACGCTTGTGACAGACCATACGCTACCTTCTCGGTAGCCTCCGCCCAACCTGTCCGCATTCCGGGTCCGATCAGCTTGCTGAAACTTCCATTGCTCACCACATTACCCCAGTCATCCCCAGATCCCCCATCCAGATACCGGTCCACATCCACCAGACGGGGTAGGTGCGCCCTGTTGGGCTGCGGTAATGTCTTGGCTGGGTCTGGTGACCACTGAAGGAAGTCATAGACATCATCGGCGATGATCAAGGCGTCGAACTCTCGCGCAAGACGAACCAGATTCTCCCGATCAGGCAAGGACATAGTGAGCGTCGACGGGTTGGAGAAGGTGGGGGTAGCATAGATGACATGCTTGTAGACTTTACCCCATGGCCTAGTAGGTTTGTAGTTCTGTAGGAGTCAGTCAGATGAGCCACTTCAGTCCCCTTAAAACCTCAAAGGCAGGACGTAAACGTCCATCTGCAGACCAAAGCAAACCAACGTACCGGTGCGTTATTATTTTCCCTCCTTGCCCGCTCCTCGGCAATAAGCAGCTCCTGTCGGAGATAGGCCAAATCCAACCCCGCATCACTCTGGGGAACGGCCCTCAGGCGACCAGAGAACCCGGAATCATCGAAGATGCGAAAGGATAGATGATAGGCGGGTGCGACCATCCAAACATTGCGTGTATAGACAGGATCAGTAAAGACCTGCAGAATACAGGCTACATTCTGACTGGCGCCACCCGTGATGCAAATGCGTTCGGGAGTGATGCGGTCGCGTGGCTGGTAGAACGTCGTTAGCCAGCGAGCGATGTGTTCGCGCAACGGCTGGTACCCTTCATCAGGGCCATACATCAAGGCCGGTGTCCAAATGGCCGGGGTGGCCAACACTTTCGCAGAGGCCTCAGCCAAGGCCGTCGTGGGCAGCAAGGCGGGGTTGGGCCAACCACGGGAAAGATCGACCTGCTCAACGTCCATGATGTTGGTTGGTTGGCTGCGCGACAGGTTCAGGGGGAAAAAAAGTAGTAGTAGATAGTATTTCTTTGAATACTAGTGATTAGATCGGTGACCTGAATTGATTTGGGTAATGAGTAATGGTAGTCGTCAGAAGCTCCAATATGCGGGGCCTGGCACGTATAACAGCAAGTTATATATTATGTGTTGTCTCAGGTAGTGATGTGGTTTGTCTTCCCTCGCTATATAAATTGATAACGTTAGAGTGACTCTGGATGATGAACGACTCTACTTTCCCAGATTAGTCCTTGGCAGTCACTAAAGAAGTTAGTGGACTTGATTGGGGTGCTATAGTATCTCTATCCAGTCACAAAATTAGTAAGTCAATGATGACTCGTTAGTCAAGAGAAAAGCATCGCGTAAGTAAGCGGATCAGGAGGGGCATCCATCCATGACTTTGGTGTGACTTTGGCTTCTGGAAGCAGTCTAAAGGGGGGAACAACGGAAGTTCCGTAGCCGACGGGACCAAGTCACGGGGTACTTGTTCAGGGCGCGGGGCAGATCCTGTCTTCGCACCGCCCGATGCCGGTGCGGCATCTTCAGGGCGCTCGGTCACTCCCCGTCAGGAAAGAGGAAGATGAAAAGAACGGGCTAGTTTTAGAGATTAGATGGAGCAATTTCCAGAGGTGTAGATTATCCATAGTCTGTACGAAGTATAAAATTATTGAGTATGATTATAATTATCCATTATGCAATAATTAACTATTGGGAACGGTTGATTGAAGTTGAGAAACCTTGACCACAGTCGTAGAACATAGTAGCCCGAAAGGGGTTTGGCTGCTCGGGAGTTATGCAAAGGATGCGTGAGGCGGGCGCTCCGAGAATACAGATGGGGTACTATACATAAATGTGCTGCCTGAGGTCCCAAGGCCCAGATCAATAAGGATGACACGTCCATTCCCCAAAGTAAAACACCCATGGCTCACCCGGATCAATCGAAACGGACTACGGGGTCAAAGACCCGATCGGACAACGTCAACCTAGGCATCACTTTCAGGACGCAGTTACTTACGTATGTCCGAGTGCGTGGCTTCTCTTTCCATGTCGGGTAATGCAGGCACAGCGCTAGAGATGAAGTATCTCTCTTCTGAGTTTTCCCCGTACAGTAGCGCCGCTGGTTAGCGCCTCTACTAAAGCAGGCAAGCCAAGCAAGGGAAAGAATCGCATAGAAAAGAAAAGGAAGAAAAAGACAGAGTAGTGAGTAAGTACGGAGTAGATACTAGCAAACAGATTGGAAAAAAATAATGAAAAGTAAAAGTAGGTACCACGAAGGACCAGTGGTAATGGCTACTATTCTTAGCTTCTCCCTCCCTCTCTCTCTCCCGCCTCTTTTAGGTCTAGTAGCTTAGATCTTCCCAATAAGTTGCCTCTCTGGCAGGACGACTAGTAGATATTTTTCTCTTGTTTATTACTCGCCAGTCCAATGAAAGAGGACAGGGCAAGCATGGCGTACTGATCTATCCATCGATTGGTACTGATGAACGATGGCGAGCTGTCGCTTTTCTCTGCAGTGGAAATTGTCGGCAGGTTTTCTCGCTTGGCTGGATTCCAGTGCGACGTGCCAGCGGCAACTCAAGGTATGTTGTGTGAGTTTGTGGTAAGCATGGCGGAGTCCGATAGCCCCTGGATCGGAGATGCCAATCCACCTGTCATGGCTCCGGCGCCTCTCCTTTTGTCACAGACTTTCCGGTTGTAGACTAAGGTCGTAATCGCGCAGGTTCTGACTGGGCCAGAAAGGGGAGAGTGCGCTTTTTTCAAACTACTATTACTACTAACTTCGAAGAGGGACCGTGTAGACGGACCCAAGCAGACTATTTATTAAATGAGGTAGACAAGTCAGTCGGAAACATGACCGACCAAGGAAACGGATCGAGTCCCGTCCATGGTTGGCCGAACCGGAGAAGAGAGAGGGGTGGAAATCAATGGCTGACTCTGAAAGGAGAATCAGACTATGAATGAGGAGATCCAACTTATGAATGGGAAAGCGCTTGAATCGGAGAGAGTGGATATCTGCCGAGATTCCGTCATCCGATCATCAGTCCGTATTGCAATTCCTGAGGCTGCAGGCACAACGCCTTGCGAGAGCATGAATGCGAATCGCAGAGAGGAGAGGCTGACGATGGATGTCACAGGGAAAAAAGTAAATTCTCAGGACAACAAGGGGAAACGTACTACAAAAGGTCCCAAAAAAGTAACAGCATAAACAAAATCATTGATGCAACCCCATGCAGTGAATGAATGTTTCTGCCTTGAGTGAGTGAGGTACTATACTTACTTACAAAGTACATGCACCCGTGGGCACAGTAAGCAATGTTGCTCTGCTGCTTAAGCTACTACCAACCACGCAACAGAAGCCAGGAGAGAGTTGGGAATCAGAGGAATAAATAGAACGAACAACTGGCAGCCTTAGTAGTAAGTATTGAGAAGGAAAGTATTAGTTGCAGACAACTCTTGCCGAACCCCCACGACGATTGCATGGAAGGAGGAGAGAGGAGGGCCCCGTCGCATCCTGACTGGCTCTGACCCGATGAGCATCAGCCTCCTGAACCAGAAACACTGCACTGCCTCTGGCCAGCCCACTCACACTCACATTCACTCACACACCTTGCGCCCACCGAACAGAGTGCGAGTTAAGCTAACAACTCCCCTAGTCTCCAGTCTCCAGTAGGAAACCCACGGATGGAGGGGTTAGGGAGAGTTTTAGTTTAGGAAACAAACGGGAGATGGCGAGGAGAGCCAAAGGAAATGAGATCATATAAAGTGGTTCGATGGCAACCTCCGTTGGGCTTAAGTTATTTACTCCGTACAGTAGAAGAAACTGCTAATAGCAGCATTCCCCACTGGTCGAAACCCACCGGAAGCCCGAAGAACGAACAGCAGACCAGCTAAACTGGCCCTAGAACGTCAGGATCATTATATTATCCAACACGAACTGGTGAATAATAAGAGGAACCACTGCGCTTTTTAGCTCTTCCTAGTTCGGGTCCTGCTGGATTTACTTCGGCTCTATAAATCATCACCATCATCACTTTGAGGGGGGGTCTCCCTGGAACCCTTCTGGTTGATTTTCCCTTCTTCTTCTTCCACTTTTCCCCCATCCCCTAACCACTACACCACCACCGAATCATCAATCACATCATCCGTAGCAGAGGTTCTGATTTGACTCTGATGCACAATCAGAGTTCCTCAATCCCTCCTGCTGCCGTGGCTCCACTCGTGGGTTAAAAATACTCGTCCATTGGAGGGCTTAATAATAACCTGTTGCCTTCAATAAACCATACCAGCCTTTTCCCTCTCCGGGTAACATCAATACTTACTCAGTCCTCACTGACTTCTGTTTCTCTTCCCCCTCTTCTGTTTTGCGCCTGTTCGCTAAGTTCCCGTCTCGTTGGGTTTTTATTTTTCGATATTATTCTATTTTTTATTTTTTATTTTTTTTTCTTGTCCTTCGTTCGGGTTTCTTGGGAGAATAATTTTTTCTTTTTTACCCTCTCTCGATATTGTTGCCTTCATCTCCGTTCTTTTTTTTTTTCTTTTTTGTCTTTTCAAGAAAAAAGATCCTCTCTCGCTGCTTCTGGCGATAGCCTCAATTTCTCCCCTTCAGCTGTCTCCTCCATTTTTTGCTGCTGTATCCGGCTTCCGCGGAGAGAACCACCAAACAAACCACCAGCCCAGAAAACCTTTCCTCATTCCTCCCTCCTCACTCTCCCCCCCTCTTTCTGGATCCCTCCTGCCGATCCATTCCTCAATCCACGTCGAGCGACTTACACCAGTCGCCCGCCGCAGATTCTTCGTTCAAACCCGTCTGCTGTCTAGAGGGTTTTTGCATGGTTGGCCGCATTCTTGCTTTCTGTACTTGTTAAGGTAAGTGCCGTCCCTGCCACTGCCAGCGCCTGGTGGTGCTTCCCCGTCATACTTCCCCTCTACCCGACGGTGTGTCTTCGTCTCGACTTCCTGTCTTTCCTCGTCACCCCCCAAAATTGTTTGTTCACGGCTTCGTGCACTCTCCATTGCGCCCGGGGAACTGACCCTTCTCTTTTGCCCCCCCAACTAGCCAGCGGCCTTGAAGATGCTGTCTGCTCCGGTCAAGTCCGCCAAGCGCATCTCGTCCCTGTTTTCCCTGGGGTCCAACAGGGATAGCTCTATTCCATCATCGCCTGCATCTCCGAACCTTCCGAAACCCTCCTCCCCCGACCAGCTGCCGCAGGATGCACGCCCGCGAAGCGCCTCCCGACCCATTCGTGCAGTCTCCAACCCTCAAAGCGACTATGCAGACGCTCGGACGCCCGTATCCCCCATCCCCAACGATGGCTTCGACTTGGATGAACCGCTGCAGCCACCCCCGTCGCTACTGGCTGTGAACCAGGACCTGGCCAACAGCGCTCACAACTCTCCAGATGGCAGGCCCCAGAGCAGAGGTCGCGGAAGAAGTGGCAGTCGACCCTCCAGTGCCGCGGGTCTATTTGTACCCGGTTCAGGTCCCGATTCGCGCCCCGGAACCCCTTCATCTTCATCGAAGAGACGGAGCTGGATGCCTGGACGGGCGCGCGCGAGCTCTGTAGATCCCCGACCGGCCACTACCACTGCGGGACCCAGTGCCTGGATTGCCGGGTTGGAACAAAAGATCCTCTACGATCTGGAGCCTTTGGCCCGGGGAGACCAGGTACGTACTGAAACCACCTTGAGCTGTTGTGCGAAAACGCTACAAGGGGGACTTTCCCCGACTATTTTCGTAAGTTCCTGGCTAACTGTAACCTCTCTTGGCTAGATTCCCGAACTCTGGAACGAGAGTGGTGATACCTATGTCTATCTGTTCCCCCAGAACACCGGCAGACCTGCCTCCTTCAAAGTCCACCGCACGGTTTTTGTTGAATCACCATCACTACGTGATTTGGCTGTAAGCAACGATGTCAGAAATCTCAACGCCCTCGACCAACAGACTCGCACAATGTCGTTGAGCAGCCCCGTGGCTGGTCCGGGTTCGCCTCCGTTGACACCTCAGGATCCCTTGGCCGAAAATGACAACGACAGCTCCGGTAGCAGGAGAATGGCGTATATGGAGGATGACGGCCAGGATGAGTTCCAGGAGTTCCATCTCTATCTTCCAATTCCCTTGAACAGCGACGTGTCCAGCCCCAGTAGTCGGATCTCGCAGGAGGACACCGAAACCCTCCTTTTGTTCCGCAACCTTTTTGCATTCCTATTGGGACAATCTTTGATCGCCACCTCCCGGTCACCCTCGCTCTTTTCGATCTTCATGGACGTCGCTACACTGCTGTCCCGGTTTGAGTTTACCAACTTCGATCATACCAATTTCGGCGAGACGGCAACTACCAGTTTTGGAAACTACTGCGAGGAGCTGAGGCTAGCTGATGTGCGGAAGAGTCGCGAGAAGACCATCGAGGCTATTGTTCTTGGAGAACGACTCCGCTTCTTCCCCCTCTATCTCGAGGGATTCGTGCATGGAGTCGGTAAGCTGGACGAACTGAAGCAGCTGAGAAGCCCCAAGTATGGCCTCATCAGCCCTGTCACGCAGAAGCGACTGGAGCGTGGTTTCATCGACCTGGATACTCGTCTGCGTGTCCTGTACAGTAAGCTTGATGACTTCGATTTCCCTTCCGTATTCTCCGGTTTCGCCAACTCGGCTACTTCGGCCGAAAGCAAGGTCGTGCGGTTCAAGAACTGGAAGATCGCATTTATGGAGTTCCGGCGATTCACCATGCAGTACTACCGGCAGAAGTACGGCTCGTGGCCGCCCAAAGCACGCTCCAAGAAGAATCAGTTCGAAGAAAGCGGACTCAATCGCCAGGTTGTCCGGGATCTCTACAATGACTTTGCTAACCTTTACGACATGCTGGTCGATCGTAACTCCCTAACCACTCGGACACTGGACATGGCTGCGGAAGGATCTGAAACGTCGGACCCTGATGAAATGATGACCCGGGCCCTCCGACAGATTATGAGCGAGTACGATCGGAGTACACCTCCTGTCCAGCCACCAATTCCTTTTGACATTCCGCAATACCCCTCACTGCAGGCCCTGGAGCGGAAGCCCATGGATGCTAAGAAGGAGGCCAAGAAGAAGGCCAAGAAGCTCAAGGACGCAGACATCAACGCTGTGCTCATGGACTCGTATACACGGGAGGCTCTGAAGCCCACGCCCTTCATCGAGGCCTTCATGCAGTTCGAGCGTCGATGCGCCCACGGAAAGACTGTCAACGACATGATCGATTTCCGGTGTGGCCAATGGATCTTCCTCTACTGTGTTATCCAATCGCTGCCCCTTGTCGTTGTTGATGTTCAGGACGTCAAGTACGTGGATGGGGTGGAGTACTTCCTCTGTATTGCCCCTCGCGGCGGTGCGCCCTGGATTGGCGGCGATAGCAAGACCGCGCGCAGCTGGTTTGGTGTCGCAGGTGGAGCTGGTGTTGTTAGTCTGCCCTCTGACGTTGTGATCAACGGAGTAGAGGGTATCTACCGACGCAGTCACTGCTGGCAAGTGGCCGAGCAGTGGGCAGAGAAGGATGCAATCTTGGCCCCTCCGACCATTGAAGATCCATACGACAACGAGTCGTCCCTTTCTTCCCCTTACCAGGCGCAACAGTCGTCGGCAGATTCGTCCTCCGAACAGCCGCAGCAGCTGCAGCAGCAGCAACAACAGGGACAAGGGACTCCCCTCATGAGCCCCACTGGCCTCACACCACCACCGGCTATTCCCCGACTGAACTCTCCTGGTATGAACCGGAGGGCGGAACATCGTCATTCGATCTACCCCGGTCTTGAGGCTCTGCCGCTACCCATGGGCGTAGCCCCGATGGAAGCCCCGGCTCGGCCCATCAGTCGGTTCAACCCCAACATGAGTTTTGACGATATCCTCAAACAGGTTCCCAACCAGAAGAAGAAATAAAAAAGTGCTGCGTCTTCGTGTGTGTATAATGTCTTTAGGGGGACCCTGCGCATTTTGTGTCTCCTTTTTGTTCTCAGCTGTATTCGATCTTTGTTTTTTATTTCCTCATCTTCTTTCCCCACCACTGCATTACTAACCATGGTCGTTTCAGCTTTTGTGTTCTGTTGTCCTTGCACTTTCCTTTCTTGTTTCTATTGCAAATTTTCCTACCACTAGTAATAGGCGTGCACAAGTGACTTTGAAGCAAAAGGCTGGAACGGCGTAAATGAGCATCTATCTGAATCTTTTTTCCCGGGTCAGAAATAACAGGCAAGACACGGCCGAATGTTTGATATTCGGCAGCATGCACGCATTGGACCGATGACATTGGAAGCATGACTTGTTTTCTTTTTTGATTATTTTCCTCTCCACCATCTCTGCCACGTCCCTCCTTCGATCGCATAGCCTGGCTTCGCTCCCTTGCCTTGTGCTTTTAATTTTGGCCGTTGTTCTTTCCATTGCCCTCGGTGACTGTGAAGGACAGCCCCCCATTTGTGGTTATTTACTATTAGTCACTCCTAGAAGGGATAGAGATAATAGGTCCATGTGGGACCGATTAATATACTAGTGTACCTCTTTCGGTGATGATTGGGTTATGACATGAAGCCTTCCGAATATTGCAAGAGTAATCGCGTAGAGCATTGCACAATCTGTCGATGTGGTGGATCGGGTACGTAGCATAGTGCGATAGTCGTAGTACTCCTTTGATAGCTTTTGATCATGCTATCTAATCAAAAATAGTAGAATCATCACTTGATCTCAGATTATGAATCATGCCAGAATGTGTGAAATTCAAGGGACCGTGGTATGTGGGCCACCATCCTCCCTCCATTCCTTCTTTTGTCCGCCCTTGCCTTTTTTTAATCTTATTTGAGAGCTGAAGTATATATCTTTTCTTATTAATTTATCGATGTTAGTCTAATCATATTTGTTTTTGTTTTTGTTATGTTCTTATGAATCTGTTTATTTATTTGGGTTTTCCACTGTCGCATGCAAAATTGGATAGGTTAACCCCGGGCGGGGGAAGGAACCATGGTTGTTGGTGCATCGTGCACGGAATACTGGACTGTCCGATTAAGTTTCGATGCTACCAAAGTATCGATATTGCTTGTGTGGGCTGGGATAAATTCAGGCAGATATCCATGAAGAAGCTCCTTAGTTATCTAGCCAGTGAGATGATAGGATATTTTTTATCTTGTGTTATCGAATGTCAACCTTCTAATGCCTGCAATTGTCACGTGTAATTTGGCATGAGTTGTGGGATTATTTGCTCTTCATCTTCAACTTCGGCCTCAATTTCAGTTCCCTGTCGGCGGGGAATAAGAAAGTCTGAGGTGAGCCGAGAAACTCGCCGAATGCTGCAAATAATCATTACGGGATACTTTTCTTAGGGTTCATGAACGAGTATGAAACAAGACCACCGCATGCATCCAGACGCCTGTCAGGAGTCTGGCCACGCAGGAACAGCGCTATCGCTAGTGAAGGACTGTCAATGAAGGACCCCTGCCACCCCAAGAGCTAGCGACGCTACACCAAAAGTTAGACACATCCCGCGGTGGAGACATCCAGGCCCATCCTTCTCTAGACGGTCTCGATGATCGCTCGTATCGCGTGCGGCTCTGGCCAGTGAAATGTATCGCCGCCAGCCAGTTCTACCACTAGCGGCTGACACTTTTTACCCTGCAAAACTTTTTGACCACGCCTCCACCTCTACTTCTTCTTGATTTCGCCCAGAGCTATGGGATAGTGAATCGCAGGAGCCCCCAGGGTTTTCTCCTGCCAGCGTTATACAATGTCTAGATCACGGTCTAGTATGGCGAGCGACGGGCACGATCGTCTGGAACCGCGACTGCTGCGAGCAGCTGAGAGCGACCAGGTCGAGGCTCTGCAACACGTCGTGGATTTGGCCCGCGACAATGGCCAGCTCAGCGACAATTTCCTGCGGATCGGACTCATGCGCAGCTGTGAGCGGGGATCGATCGCAGCGACTCAATTCCTCCTTTCTCTCGGCGCAAAGACCGATGTCGCAAATAACCGCCCTTCACCGCTCCTACGCGCTGTCGAGCGCAATCACGTTCGCATCGTGCAGCTCCTACTGGATTATGGCGCGTCGCCGGAGATAACGGATAAGAAAGGTCGGACTGCGTTGATGACGGCGGCATGGAAAAATCACTGGCATGTGCTCCACCTTCTCATATCGCGAGGTGCAGATGTCAATGCGAAAGACCAGAAGAAGAGGAATGTCTTGCACAATCTGGCTGCCGATAAGCAATGCGATTGGGGGGAAGATGTTATCGAGCTTTTGCTACGCACAAGCTGCAAGCTAGACGGAGTTCAAGGTCAAGATGATTTGGGTCGCACTCCGTTACATTGGGCCTGCGCGACAGGGAAATTACGCTTCGCAGAGATGCTTCTTGCCCGACCTGAGGGGCCAACCGCAGATGTGAACGCAGTAGATTTTAGAAACAAGACTTCCCTCCACATTGCTGTCTCCCATGGTCGCGATGATATTGTTCAACTCTTACTCCGGCATAAAGCAGATATCAATGCGAGGAGTGATGGAGGCTGGACGCCTCTTCACAATGCCTGTGACAAAGGAGCTGAATTGATCGTGCGCATACTGTTGCGGGAAGGCGCCCAGATCAACAGTCAATTGTTGACCGGAATCACTCCATTGCATCTGGCGGCGCAGGCAGGCCATCGGGAAATTGTTGAATGCTTGATGGAATACAAAGACCTCAAACCGAGAATCCGAGACAATTTTGGCAGTACACCCTTCCTGCGAGCAGCCCAATTCAAGCGTCGGGATATTGTGTCGCTCCTGGCGCCCTTTAACAATGTCGATGCGCTTACGCCGGAAGCAAAGGGGGCGTGCGAAGGCTTCGAGGCTACTGTTGTGGATTTTGGAAATTTCCACAACGAGAACCGGGTGAAGAAGACGTCCGTTTACAATCTGCTCTATGGGCGTGATCCAGGAAATCCGCGCAAACAAGCCTTTACCACATTGCCAGCCGACAGTCGAGCGACCGACTTTCGCTGGATCCATCTGCCAGCTAATAATCTTACCTGGGTCGAAGCTTTGCTGACAAAATCATTCATCGAGGAGGGAGCTCACGATGTGGAGAGCTTTAAGGGGCTTGAAAGGTCGTTTCGATATCAACACCGCGGACAAAAAATCCATTCTCACTTTATGCGACCATTGTGCCAGAGTACACCTCGCGCAGCACGACTCCGAGAGGAGGATAGCTCGGAAGAGAAGGAAATGATGTCTCCCCGGATCTTGGTAAATGGACAATCTCTTGAAGCGCCGAAGTCCCCAGGGGAGGGAGGCAGCCCGAGGGGCCGAAAACTAGGCGGCAAAGGCGACCGGTCAGATACCAATCTGCAGAACGATAATGGGCCCTCTGGGAAGAAGGGAAAGAACACTACGAAGCACAGCAAGAGCGGAGGATTTAAAAAGCCAGAATCCAGGAACCAATCCGTTGTTGCTCATGAGAGGCACCGGCCAGTGCTCTCACTGTGCAAGGAGCAAACCCACACAACCTGCAATGTGTGCATGTTCATGCCTTATCTGCATTTTGAAACAGATGAGCGAAGGAAGAAGATGCAGGAAGCGATTAAACGAGCTGAGACGCGCAACTTTGCTCACGCGGGTCTTACACGAACTCCTACAAGAGATGAGCTTCTTATCAGCGCGCACTTAGCGTCATCCACCTCTTCGCTGCATATACGACGCACGTTAGATCAATTCTTCTACCCCAACATCGACACGCAGACTCGGGACCAGGATCAGGTTGTGTATCGCTATCAGACGAAGGGGCAAGGTAGCGAGCGCTCCTGGGCCGAGCCCAAAATCTTCATGGTCGACCAGCTGTGGATGTGGATTGTAGGAACGAACTTGATTGTGACCAGTTTCCCTCAGCGGTGGGATCAGCCTAAGAATGACCCTCTCAATGTTCTCGATGGTATCATTGAAGACATCAATTCCAAGACTCGGGAACCCGTGCGGTCCGTTTATGACCTCTCTATCATTATCACCACCCGCTGCTCTGGCGTCTTCGACCGTCACCGCATGGGGGATGAGGAGTATCAATTCCTAGACATGTTCGAGGCCTCGATCGGTGTGGCCACGGACCGGGAGACCGTGCTCTTCAATCGGTTCAACCGAGCATCAGCGCAGGCATCAGATTGGCTAAAGAACCATCGCAAGCTAAGTCGCTTTGCCAGGGATCCACTCACCAAGGGTGAGCCAGCCGAGAACAGCTTTGAGCGGTTTCTGAAAGAAGAGGAGGAAGAGGATGCGCAGCCCCTCTTTGTGGACAACTTGCTTGACATCGGCCAAGAGACCGAGCTCCTTTCGGAGGCCAAGGATATTCGCGACGAGCTCAACATGATCCGAACGGTCCTGCAACACCAGCAAAATGTCCTCCTGGACTTTCAGGAGGCCATCTGTGAGATTTACTACGGACAGCAGCGGTCACAGCATGAGGTCAAGAAGCGATTCAAGGAACAGCAGCGCACGATCGACATGCACCTGAAGGATATTGACCGGATGGACAAACAAGCCGAACGAATCTATTCTTCCATTACAGACCTGCTGGATCTCAAGCAGAAACATGCCAACGCGTTCGAGGCACGGTTCGCCCGCGATCAAGCGGCCGGAACGACGCGTCAGGGAAAGATCATGATGGTTTTCACGATTGTCACGATCATTTTCCTCCCACTGTCTTTTATCACGTCTGTCTTCGCGATCAACATGGCCGAGTTCGAAGGGGCAAACGAGCTGCATTTACCGTATGTGGCCAAGTACACGTTTGGCATTGGCTTTGCCATCTCTATTCCCCTGATCTTGGTTGCACTGTCTGTCGATGACATTGGAGACGTCTGTCAGGAAGGCACACGGCGAATGCGCCGATGGATATCGCAGAAACGAGCTGCTGCATCTCCTGCTGGTATGCAGGACAATATTAGACCGACGGCATTTGAGATTGAGAAGATTCTCAGCGCTCG